TTAGGAAAAATGTACATGTAGGATCGCCCAATCACCAGCTCCGACGAACCGGAGCGCGCAGCATGGCAAGGCATGCTTGTGCGATGCCACGCAGGAAGCCATGCTGACAATCTACGTGCCCGCGATCGAACGATCCGGGATTTGTTCCCGCGCGCGTGAACAGTCCGGATCCGTTCCCTCTCAGATGCGATCGTACGGTTCAGATTAAATCGTAATGGACGATTCATATTCATTTTCTATTTAAACGCGATCGGACGGTCGAGATCAAACGTAATGGATGGTCCAGATTAAAGGAAAACGGATATAAATATATCACTTCACACCAAACATTAACCTTAACCGCCAGCCCCCTACTCTCGAAGAAGAACCAGCCACCGAAGAAGGGAGCCGACCGTAGTGTTGGAACCACCTCCGACCATCAAAAAGGGTAAAAAATTTCTCGTTCGCTTGAAATTTAATTTTAAACACTCCCACGGCCAAATCAGAGCAAAAAGACCGGCAGATGAGCCGAAAACTGCGGGTAAATCCCAGTAATGCCGCCGTAAGAAAAATCAAAAACTGCCTCTAATGAGGCCCTTCCCAATTCCCATTCTGTACAGTTTTTCCAACATTGTATTCACCATTCTATTTTCCACAAGTTGACCGAAGAAAAATGTCCAACCGCGAAGTTGAGCTGGCGGAGCCGCCGGTAAGCTTCTATTTTTCAACTTTTTTCGACCAACCGAGGTCCTTTAACGTATTTTATCCCAGAGATGAGTACAAAACTGACTGAAAATCAGTAAAAACTGGCCAAAAAATGGCTAGTTCGAGGCAAACCGTCGCCACAGGCAGCGGTGCTGTCGCCGGAGCACGGTGGTGCCGCCGTGTCGGAATTTCAAAATTAGTCAAAAAAGGGTTTTAACACCGATTTAAAAAATCTCGATAATTAGAGCGTGTTTTAATCTCCAAAAAAATTTCAAGGAACTCGGGGACCGCCAGTAGACGCAGCTGAAAGTTTAGTGTTCAGACATCTATTCACGTAAGAATCCTTCACCCTATTCCTTGTTATGGAATTGAAGTTTAATTATAAATAATGTAGTATTTTATACAATTTAAAAAATCTCGATAATTAATTATAGGATACTAATGGAGCCGGAATCGGTTATTATTCACTGTTTATCCTGTTTGATTGATTTTATAGTTTCAAATGCATAATAATACACTGGAGTTGATATGATGATTCAGTTATGCTTCCTTGATGAATGTATTGCTTGTTTTGCGTGATTTACAATTAAATTGTGAAACTGAAAATTAAATATAAACAGAAAATTGATTGATTAAGTGAATGAATAAATGGTAGCCTTACTGGATATCCTAAGAGATGGTGGACGAAGCGAGTGCATAGGAAACCCTACCGTGAACGTTGCCTCATGTTGGACGGGGTATCGATGATTGGTATTTTAGCGCTCATAACGGACGGGGTATGGGGACGGCCCGTTTCACCCTCATACCGGACGAGATATTGAGGGATAATATTTTAGCGCTCATACCGGATGGGGTATGGGGATGGCCGGTTAGTTGACAATGTTGAATAAGGATTCACGCGCAATGGGGATATCCCTATAGACTCCCATGGATACTAATAGGCAGATAAAAAGAAAAAAGTTATTATTCTGGTTAATTGAATATGAGATTATGATGTTGTTTATATTATTACTTCTATAGGTCGGTATTAGAAATCTCACTACAGTAAATATACAATAAATGATTTTATTTATAATAAATGAATTTATTTAAATTAAGAGCTCCATTAGTTGTTTTCATGATTTTTACCAACCTTCATTTCTGTATCAATGAGTAATGTGACATTTTTATTAGGCTAATATAGCTCACTCTTTCATTAATCATTTCAGATCAAGAGAACCAAGATCCAGATCCTGATCCACAAGAGGGTTGCGAATAGGATGTCCAGTTGTTTATTTCTCATTTATTTTTTTTATTTTCGTTGTTTTTTTAGAATGATCATTTCTGTAACTCTATTGGATATTTTAAATTATTGTGTAATGAATGTAAACTCTAACGTTATCATTTCAAATTTTTGGGTTGTTACACGCAGGCATCCCTACTTCTCATCTTTCTTTCTTTTTTTTTTTTTTTTTTTTTGTTGCGGGCTACAACCACAACCCAAAAGTAAAAACAAATATACACCATTGGGGCCCATGATCCAAAAGTCAAATCAAAAGAAAAAGAAACCCTAAAAAAAGTTGGTTTTTTTTTTCTTCTTGTTCCTTCATGCGGGGGCCATGGCCGCCGCTTCTTCTCTGCATGTCGTGACTAGAAGATTGCGGCTGTTTCATCGGTGTGACCTATCGGTCGCAACGCACGACGCAGCTTCACCGCCGCAACCGGGAGGCCAATTGACCTCCCTTTGCGTGTATTCTTTTCTTCCATTTTCTGTTATATATATATATATATACATGCAACTGAATATAAAAAAAATCCATAATTTATTTTTTCTTAATGCATAAAACTTAAAAATCTGGAAAAAAATTATTTCTTAATTCATAATTTTATTTAAAAAATTAATCCGAAAATTCAAAACCAAAACAAAATCAATACAAAATTAAATATATTCTAGATCTAAAAATAAAACACAACCATATGTATATGAATCTAAAAAAAAAAAATTAAATCTCATAAATTTAATATGAAATGGCTCTGATACCACTTGTTAGATTTAATTTAAACTAAATCTGAAAATAACTGTAAAAATCTCATACTGAATCAAAAAGAATAAGTATATAAGCGTACCAAAATTTATAATAGAAGAAATATATTCGTCTTAAGGTAAATTTTCTAAATTAGCACGTAACTTTTTGAATTCTTACATTTTTTTGTATTTCTTGTAATAATATATCAAAATAAAAAAAAATTTACATGTAATTTGAGGAACATAACTGTTTATTTATAAGCAAATTTTGACTGTAAATTTTTTATATTCCTAATTTGACCTATTATAAAATTAGAAATTACAAATTTGATATTTACATATAAAATGAAACACATACTTTAATTTGATGCATTAATAGTTAATATATATTTAACCGTATCAGATCACTTCTAACTTGACCTAATTAATTCGATGGCTTTTGATGCACATTAAAATCACATATAAGTTCACACGATAAATTTAAAAAAAAAAAAACTCAACAATAAAAGCATGATTTAACCATTTTAATTTTTTAATAGAAAAAAAAAAGAAAATTGAGTATTTGAAAAAAAAAATGAAAATGGGATTATAATAAGGAAAATATTAGAAATTATTTTTTAGTAATTATTAAATTTCATAAATTAATTTGATAATTTATTTTAATATTTATTTACTATCTTAATTTCTCTTTTATTACTTAAAGTAAGTAAGAAGGTGTTCTAGTTTGATTTAAAAAAATTTTAAAATTTTAGGATTTTTAAGAACTTTATTGTTTGATCTGTAATTTAAAAGCAAAAATTCGACAAAACAAAAACTATACAACTTATAACACACACACACACACACACACACTAACTAGACCAATCGAAATCCATAGATAATATATAATTTGATTTAATCCTTACATTATTATTATTATTGTTATACCAAACACTGAGTCATTAAATAAATTAGCGAATCCCAAAAAAGCGTCAGCTATACCAAACTATATTTGTAAAGAGAGTTAGGTTTTGTCGTTTTGCATAAAAACAATGTAGCCAATTAGGTGGTTTGTCAAAACTCCATTATCGTCAAACTCAAAATAATTAACGTGTTTTTTTTTTTTAAACTAAACAAATTCACAAATATCACATTCTGCCGACACTCTTGTCCGAGCCTGCATGCTAGCTTCCAAAGTTGGTCTGGTCTTAGCTTCGTCACACGAGCCTCTGACATTATCATTACTTTACATTATATTATGTGTGTATATATGTATTTTCTTCTTTACACAAAGGCGCAACGTGTGGCATTGCTTTTTTCATTGAGAAAGAAACACCTCTCTCTCTCTCTCTCTCTGTTTTCTTTTTCACTTGCACTGAAAAACAGAGTGGTAACGGTTGCACACTCTACACTAGTGCTCCCAAAAATTTTATATCTATATACATATATATTTTATATTTTCTTCTTCATTGAGCTTTTTCCTTTCTGGGTTTCCTTTTGGGGACCTGAAAATTTTCTTCTGGGTTCATTTCAATCAAAATGTTGTAAGGGTTTTGGGGACTCCAATTTTCTTCTGGTTTCATTTCAATCAAAACTTTGTTGTCTGGGTTTTGGGTACCTAAATCTGCCTCATCGAGTTTTTTCCTTCCTGGGTTTCTTTTTGGGAACCTGAAAATTTTATTCTGGGTTTTCATTTCAGGGTTTTAGGACTTTCAATTTTCTTCTGGTTTCATTTCAATCAAAACGCCATCGTTTGGGTTTTGGGTACCCAAATCTTCTTCTGCTTAATCTTTCAATCTTCTGGTGATTTTGTTTTTCGAAGAGATGCTGTCGACGAAATCTGAATCAGATATCACAAGTTTAGCACCATCATCTCCATCAAGGTCTCCAAAACGCGCCGTTTACTACGTGCAGAGCCCATCTCGAGACTCTCACGATGGAGACAAATCATGTTCCATGCAGCCAAGTCCCATGGATTCACCTTCGCACTCCTCTTCTTTCGGCCGGCACTCCAGAAACTCGTCGGCGAGTCGGTTTTCTGGGATTTTCCGGTCGTCTTCCGGCAGAAAAGGAACAAGAAAAAGAAACGACAAAGGTTGGCCGGAGAGTAATGTAATATTAGAAGAAGGGTCGTACGATGAGCTTGAAGATAAAGCTTTTACCAGGCGATGTCAAGCTTTGCTTGCTCTTTCTACATTTGTATTTCTCTTCACTCTTTTCTGTCTCATCATTTGGGGAGCCAGCAGGCCTTATAAGGCAATAATTACTGTCAAGGTATTTTTATTCTTGCTAGAAATTCATAAATTTATTAATTAACTAATATTAAAAATTAAATAAAAATACACTAAAAAAATTAACTATTAATTAAGTAATAATCAGTAATTTTCTGCATATTTACTTACATATTTGTAATTTCTGTCGCAAACACAACTGGTTACATGGATGGATTAGGATATCAAAATATGTATCTTTTACATTAATCCAGTGTCATCAAATTTGGCACGTGCTATAATATCATTTGAAAAATTATTTAATTGACAATTCTTTTTTTTTTTTTTTAACCCAAATCAGTTATAACTTGAATAAATTATATATTTTTTAGATATAAGATTGAAATATCACAATATGTTTAGAGGAATGCATCCAATATTTGTCATATGAGGTCAGATACTTGTTAGTAATACTATAGGAGTAGAATTTAATTACAATTTTATCACCTTTATGACCGAAACCTCAAATATATATGTGTATGTATATATATATATATATATATATACATGTATTGTGATTGATGATGTGCTTATGTGTATCAGAGACTAGAAGTTAAGAACTTTTATATTGGGGAAGGCTCAGATTTCTCAGGCGTTCCAACGAAGATGATGACTGTGAATGCATCCTTAAAGATAAACATATATAATCCTGCAACTATATTCGGCATTCATGTTAACTCCGACCTCATTGATCTCATGTATTCAGAAATCGTAGTTGCTAGCGGCCAGGTTTGTGTAATTCACATTTAAAGCCTTATCATCATCAAGAATCAATGTGTGTGTGTGTCTATATATATATATATAGTTTTTTAAGTTTTCATTATGAAATTGCAGCTGAAAAAACACTATCAACCAAGAAAAAGTCACAGAAGTGTATCAGTGATCTTACAAGGCAAGAAAGTTCCCTTATACGGTGCAGGATCAAGCTTACTAGTTTCGAAAACAGAAGGTCAAGTTCCATTAACGCTGAGCCTTCGAGTTCGATCAAGAGGAAATGTGGTGGGAAAACTTGTAAG